TAACTAATTTATATTGTATAAGGATATGATTGTAACTTGTAAGATTTTTATGAAATTAGTTGGAAACGGATTGCCTGCCTGTTTGTAAGTAATCGGGGCCATCCATGGACACCCGTAAAATTGTAAGTTCGTTATACGTCATATTATATAAAAAAAAGGACGTGGTATGATTATGGTCGAAGCATCCAGGCATATTTTGTCTGCACGGTTGGGTAACCAACCAGCCGACATTGTGCCGCGGTTTCGATTCCCGCAAGGAACAACTCCTTTTGTGATCCACTAATTGTATGTTTGTAAAACCCACTCGAGAAAATTCTTATGTAGTATAGTATAATCTTATTATGAAAAAAAACATTTTTATTAAGTTTATTCATAATTATAATATACAGAAGCCCAGACTCAAGCTCGACACTGCAAAGAACATCCAATACGTTTGGGTAACCAACTCAGAATTACAGCTCCAGGAAAACAATCCCGGATCAGACAATTAGGTCAATGGCCTGCTCAGTCAAGCTTCAAAACAATGTAGTCTGTATTAGAGATCATCCGATCAACTTTATATCCTTTTGAATCTTCAATTAACGAGATAATATCCCGGTACGATTGTAAGAAATAGCACTAAAAATAAATTACATATTGTTCATCTCGAAGCACGAATTCCAAATTACGTGAGCATTTTATATTTCCTTTTTTATCAAAATTTAAATTAATAATGTAATAAATTGAAGCACGAAAGTAAACAGTAAATATTTGTGTAAATTAAACAACTCGAGCGAGAATTCAGAACATTTTACCGTAAATAAAAATCATCGTTGACTTATAAAATGTTCGAAGCAATTATTAATTTGGTGTAAAATATGATTTGAAAAAGTGCAGCTGTCAGTGCTGTGTGTAGCGTTAATAGCGGGCGGCGCACGCGCACGGACGTCCGTGCGCTTCAACAGGTCGAGTTCCGGTCTATTTGATCCGGGTGAAAAAAAAAAAACGGGCCACTTCTACCGAACGATTTGAAATTCAACGCATCTGCCGCGGACCGCCGAGCGTGACGTCACATTTACGTTAAGGATTCCACGAACGCAAGCGCAAATAATGATACGATCAATTATTTCGACTATCAACGTACATTGTGTTCTCTATATATCCGTTAATTATGGCGGTTTCTCTATTATAAAATGTTGAGAATTTTCACCGATATGATACCTGTTTCATTAAAATTACTTTGTAATTTCGTTTATCATGGAACATGCAGTAATGTACTGAAGTTTGTTATAATTAACGGGGATTTGATAGTTATAAAGTCAAGTACTTAGATATTTGACGCACGGTATTAGTAGATTATTAGAAATTAATACTTTTACGTGAAAAAGCTCTTTGACATACTTAATAGAAAAATTATGATTTCTATTGTTTTGTTTTCAAGTACGTTTTGAGGAGCAAAACCTCTTCACATCATCATATAGACAGCTAATCAATTTTAAACCTTATAATAACAAATGAATAAGTATGTAAATCAAACGTTACACTCACGTCAGCGAAGTTAAGTCTGTTAGCGTTCTTCCTGAACTCAGTCATGGCGTATCGCTCCTTCATCTTCCTCACTCGCTTGCCGCCTCGTTTCTTCCTGCTTTGTTCTATAGGTTTCGGTAGAGGTTTCACGAATTTCACTGGCGGTGGTTCCTGATGAATTAAGTACAATTAATATTATTTGTGTATTGTACTAAGAGATTGTGTGGAAAGGAACTAGTAAGAAACGGAAGTTCATGTTGAATAAATATCGCAAGGGGAGAATAGACGGGGATGCGAGTCAAGAGCAATTAGGAACCCCAGCCTCGGCCTGGAGCAGGAAAAAGAACGGGGTGGTTTTTAGTCAGTAAGAGTGGCAATCTTACCTCACCCTGGGCAAGAGGAGTGATATTATTATGATTTTCCTGCTTCAAAAACGGGGGCTATAATAAAAAATATCGCCCTCTACTTGCCTTATATTTTACAAATTACAATCTAGGTTTTTAAAATATTAAAAACATAATTCGAGTGAACCACTGAGGTGAAAATCTACTCCAGAGAATGCGATTTTTTTCATCGGTAGCTTGCTGGTTTATAGATAAAAAGATTTATAATTAGAATTTCTTTTCTTAAATACCAAGCCTTCGTTGCAAGCATTTCCTACCTGCATTTTATCGAGTTTCTTCTCGATAGATTCACGCAACATTCGTCCGATACTTCCGTCCGTACTCTCGTGACAGGCGTCGACGCGTGCCGCCAACGTTATTTTAGTTGACACCAACTTCGCCGCTTTATATCTCAGCTCCTATAAAAGAAAAAACAAAATAAATTATTTCAATGCGATAAAAAATTATAGCTAAAAAACAATAACCCAACATAAAAAAAATAACTCAAAATGCACTCATAACTGTTTTTTTATAGATTACTATAGCCAAAGTAGACATTCTTCAATGATTTTATTGCCATCAATCAATCACTAAGGGTATGAAGAAGGATTAATATAAGCAATAACATTGGGGGTAAATTGAAAGCAGTAATTAGTTGCAAGAGCAAACAGAGTCTATAAAAGCAATAATGTTTTGTCGCGAAGGACTGACCCATAATAATACTAAGGATCTATTTCACAATATGCCAATAGCCACTATATACCAGTCAAATTGAAATAAACAACGTAATTTATACGAATTTGAATATAGAATTTGATACAAAAGATGGTGGTGAAAACCAGCTCTTAAAACCAGGTACTTACAGGTGGAGTATCTTGGACTATAGATGAGAAATAAATAAAGCCAGTGTGTGGAAGAGCTGTTGCCTGCGAGAATCCCGACAATGTTTTCTTCTGTTGACCCAATGGTAAAATATTGCAGGCTGGCATCTTCGCCAATTTAGATAGACCTCCTGCCACACCCAAGATCTTTGCAGCAGTTGATGCACCTGGTATTTAAAGAAGAAAAGGTTATAGGTTAACCATTCTTATTACAGATAAATGGTGATATGTTTTTGTTTTTTTTAACTTTGATAAGTTATTTGACTTACCAACAATAGCTGTTATGTTTGGTGCTATAAAAGCCATTCTACTTTCAACATATTCATAAATTTTTGATTTGAAATTGTTTAGCTCAGTGGCCATGTCACAAGCCTCATTTATCTCGGCTAGCTCCTTTTCAGTCAATAGTTTCCTGAAATTAATAAGAAATCTTAATTTACACAACTATTTTCATACAAATATAACTTTAATATTTTGAGACTAACATTATTGTTAAGTTGGTAATGTTGCAGGGACACAAAACAGTAGCTGTTTGGTGTTATTACTGAGAAATTCTCACAAAACAATTTTCAATACTTCTTAGTTTAAGCATGAACATGCAACCTCTTTGCTTAGGAGTGATAACTAATGAGGAAATAATATTAAGTTTTTTTTAAGGAAACAAGTTCAAAAGAAGTAATTATATATAGTAATGCAAACTTACCCTTGTGTAGTTGATGCAGTAACAGACACAATCATAATGGTGGCCTGTGTCAAAAAGCTCTGAAGTGTCTCATTGTTCTTAGCTTGATCCAAATCATTGCCAAGTTCCCTCACAGATCGAATGTAATCTTGAGGCGATATTATCAAAGATTCTAGTTCTGGAAACCTTTTCTGATACTTATCCCGAACATATCTGTGGATAATAGCTGAAAAATAATTTATATTTCAAGTTCATGTTTGCCTAATTCAGTTTAGGCAGAATATGATTGCCCAAGGGGCTATTGGCTGGTCACAAATATAGTGAGAGGTCATCAATTTAGGTAATTCAACATATCATGGTACTTCTAATATAGTCACAGAAAAAATACTTGGATTGATATGAAAATAATTGGAATTGTTCAATAATACTATTATGGAACCTCATAAAGATATAAAATATAAGTGATATTAATAGATATTTAACTAATTAAACAAATAAGTAAAAGAAACCTACCAATTTCTCCGTCAATTTCAACAGCTATATTATTTGCCTCTACAATAAGCTGGTACTCTGGATCTGTTTCCATTAACCCTGTCACTTCAATTTTTTGTCTATTATTCCCAACATTATGCTCAATAGATGTCATCACCTGGAATTACAATTTAATGTGAGGATTAACAAAACTTATAACCACGAAAATTGTAAATCTAAAATGAATGGTTCTTACCCGTTTTAGTCGATCTGAGTGTCTCAGTTTTGCCAATTCTCTGATAGAAACGTTTTTTATGTCTTCTTCTTTAGGAATTACGGGGTTTGGCACGGCAAACTCATGGTCCTCGTCCATTTTACTGTTGTCAATAAGTGCTTCAAGTTCGCCATCATCATTTTCTTCCAAATCAGCGAGTAATTCATCAGCTAGAGACATGATTACTTGTTATTTTTTACGAGAGCGTTAAAATTTTTAAAAGCAATGCTTTGGGTGTTTTCTAGAATAGTTGAAACACTGTAAACATACGAAATCGAAAATACATTATACACAATTTTAACACAAGCCACTGGCAGATTTCATGAGAGAATGACAGTACAGTGTCACTGTCAAAGTTCAGAGCGTTACCTTTTTTTTATTTTGACTACACACGTTTTGATATTTAAAATAAAACTATTAGTGCCAAAAAAGTCTGTAGGAAATAAAATTGTATTGTAGACACACAGATAGATAGGACTTTAACCTCTACACTCAGAGTATAAAACAGTTTTATGATCTGGTCTAAAAAGTAAGTATATAACTTTTGCTAAATAGGTAATGAAAGTCACTGGTCACTGTCTACAAATCATAATCTAGATCGTTTAGTAACTAAACGATTTAGAATATTACCTAAACGATTTAGATTATAATTTAAATTATTTTTTATTTCTTACTATTTTAATGTATTATTACTGAGAATTTATTGCAGTTTGTATAAGAAAAAAATAATTTTCTATTAAAACCAGTGGATTTGTATAATTCGACTTTCGATGACGATGACACCTTTTTTAAACTGTGAAACTGTAAACAGGCAACACTAACGACGGTTTGCCATTTTTTCCGTGCGACAAAAAGAAAGCCTTCCAGGGTATGCAAAAGCCCCGTAAAAGGCCTGCATTTTAGTATTGAAAGTGATTTTAGGGTGTTTTAGTGAAATTTAGGTAAATATATATTGTCACAATGGCACTCAACCCTCAATACGACGCAATTGGAAAGGGATTTGTACAACAATATTACACACTTTTCGACGATCCGGCACAGCGACCAAACCTAGTGAATATGTATAACGTGAGTATTTCATGTAGATAAGATTCGTGTAACGTTAATACTTCAATACCATTACTGTGTACCAAACATTATTTTTAAAAATTAAAGATTTTTAATTTTAAGGTTAACTCGTTGCTCCCGCCGAAAAAATACTTTATTGCATGTCAATTTCACAATTTCTCTTTTATATCAATACAACGTGTTGTCATCCTAAGTGACTAAGAGTTAGTAACCGTTAATTTGCATTTATAAGTAAAGTCCTGATCAAAACAAATTATGACTCACGCAGGAATCCTAATAGGAGCCCCGCTGTTGCATTCATTCTCATTCAATATGTATTGAATTGTGTACATGTATCTTGTTGCAGGTTGAAACATCGTTTATGACATTTGAAGGTGTTCAATTGCAAGGTGCAGTGAAAATAATGGAAAAGTTAAATGTATGTGTCTCCGATTCATATCCCTTATCAAATTATCTTAGTTCATTGACTTTCAGCTGTCACAATGAAAAATAAACAACATATTACAATGTCAATGGAATTCATAAATCTTCTTGATAAAATCATATTGTATGACACATTATGAATATGTTATTTACATGCAGTATTTCTCATTTCAGAGTCTAGCATTTCAAAAAATTGGCAGAATTATAACCGCTGTTGACTCTCAGCCCATGTTTGATGGTGGTGTACTAATAAATGTTCTTGGACAGCTCCAGGTTGGTATCTTTACTTACATGCTGCTAACTGCTAGAGTTATTTTAAGTTTTAACAATGCAACAAATTTTTTCAACAATATGCCAGTTAACAGTACTGGACAGTCTTTAAATAAAGTTGTTGAGTGTGGTGAATATTTAAATAAATAAAGTTCTACTTTGAAATATGATGAGTAAGGACTAGGCATCATTATTATTTCAACTCATATAAAGACAATAGAAATGAGCAATGTAGTCCTAAAATATTTTTATTGCTTTCAAAACAGACGGATGATGACCTACCCCATGCATACTTTCAAACATTTGTACTGAAGCCAATAGCAAACTCATTCTATGTAGAACACGACATGTTCAGGCTGGCACTTCACAACGTTTAATTACTTTTATCAACAGATACAAAGTAAGAGTAGACCTTAGTGCTTTTAGATAATGCACTTCCACACCGCTTGGCACATGATCCCTTTTTACAATAAGGCTCATCATGTCTTGTGAATAAAAAAAGGGTTTTTTAAGTTTTCCCATTCATACTAATTTAATTTAGGCCTTTTAACAATGCAACATAACTACTCTTCATTTGGATTATGATACTGTCAGATTGAATGAGATAAATAACAAAAGGTGACCTACTGAAGGTCAGATAGGTAGATTTGTTGCTCTTGTTGTCTTTCTGTCTTTTTGCATTCTTTTTATGCAAAAGTTAGTGTAGCACTTGAATGTTTTTGGCTGCGATCTGTAGACATGGCAGAACCAAGAATAATAAAATTATAGAATTAAATAAGAATTATAAAATAAAATTTTTGTATATGGAACAAGATATTATTTGACGCTTGTATCTGACTGTTATGTTGCAGTATGCAGCCACTGCATGTGCGTAAATAATATAAATTGTATTTATATATAGTATTCCAATATGTTGTAATTAAAATATTATTCTCAATCATAATATCACTACCCTGTTTTGCTGTGTGAAAAAGAGTTACAGATTTTGTTAATGCTTTTTATATTTACTCCACCCAACTAATTTATGTTATGATTAAAAACCTCCAATTCCAAATAAGAATAAAACAACTAATTTATTGGAGTGTCACAATTTACCCTAAGTATATTCTATGGTGTATGTATGCCATTTTGTATTATGATACACATAAAAAAGAAACTAAAATTAAATCTTTTACCTTTTTCACCTGTAATTTAATTCATTGTTTGTCTTCAATATGGTAACCTTTATTGTAATGTAATATGTTTATTTCAGTGTGACGACGACCCCCCACACCCGTACATGCAAACATTCGTTTTGAAGCCACTCGGAGACTCCTTCTTTGTACAACACGACCTGTTTCGCTTAGGCATTCACGACGTTGCCGCCTAATAAGTTAAACATCACAAGATATTGATCAAGTAAAACTATTTGTACTAATATTGTCACTACGCTATTTCGAACAGCTATTGTTTTGGTTAACTAGGTATAAGTAACGATCAATTGCCTATTTGTGAAAAAAAATTCAAATTGTACATTATCATATGAATATTTGGCATGCATTTCTGCTTAGATGTATGAGATGGCTTTAGTGAAAGTACGGCGGACTCTTTTTTTTTTCAGTTACATGTATACATTTTATAATAAATACATTATAATTTTTTATTTATAGTTGTTTTTATACTATTGTCATCATGTTACTGAGGTTACCGGGGGCCCAATCCTTCGGGTGCAGTTCCATTGAGGCGGAGCAGACAGAATAGATGTGGATTTCAAGCTATGTGATTGGTGAATTGCGGCACAGCTCTTCTCCGCTCTGTCCGCTCCGCATCAATGGAACTGTACCCTTCTCCCCCTATCCTTCGCCAAACCTTATATTTTAAAACTTTTATTCGGCAACGCACTCATATCTCTTCTGGTGTTACGTGTGTCTGGTTGGCGCTGATTGCTTACCCTCAGATGATCCGTAGACTCGTTTGCCGCTCTATCACAATAAAAAAAGTATGCGTATGTGTAGCCCCTTGTCTGCATCGCCATAATAAAGTACTGAAATACTTAGTAGTTCAACGCCACTTTGCTTCTCGCAATTCTCAAGTGAGGCATCGTAAATAATACAAAACAGATGCATAACATGAAGGACTGATTGCGGTATTGTGAGTAATTCGAGATGAATCAATACATAAATACGTTTCCAAGTTCAGCCGACCATGCAAGTATGAAACCTACTTACTTTGGCTTGTAGGAAGGGTAAGAAAAAATACGAACATAGATGCTAGGACAATCATGTATTATAAATAGTCAAAAATTAACAAAAGAACCACTGAAAACAGGTACATTTTTTACCAATCTCGAATTTAAGACTTGCTCCTCCGTTTTAAATCCTTAGACGCTACGAACACTTAACAAGTTTATTTGCATGCACTACTAAACGAAATACACACACGAGGCCCCGACATCGCGCGGGCCAAACTTGTCTAAGTGAATGACTAGGTTGCAAAAGTGATACGCTCGTTGCAAGACAGGCACGCCATTACTATCTCTTGTCTTCGTAAACTTGACGGATTACGTGTACACTCCATATAATAGCAGTATATTGTTCATTTTCTGTAATACATTACTGCATAGTATTCAAATATTATCAATAACTCCGTTTAATAACGATTAACTTGAAAAATTCGAGCTTGTTCATTATTCGAATATTATCAACTAGCTACAAATAGTATTTAACTATTATTGCTTATCGAAAGCATTATTTCTGTTAAAAAGAACTTTCTTATCTTAAGATACAAATATATTAAACGAGAACGGAGTGGATTTGTAAATCGTATTAATTTATAAAAGTTAAATTTACTGGAAAGCTGTTTTTTTTATTTCCGATCTGCTAAAAAGGGTACACCACGTCAGTATCATTGCGACGTGATGAGGACTACAAGCAGAGATCAAATGAGACATGGCAAGACCGTTCTGGTCACATTTACATAAAGAATATTTTGTACATTAGCCTCTGATTGATGGCACTGTTCCATTAAATTGTAAATACATAAATATATTAAAGTTATTAGCACAACCAGCCATTGTAATGTCGTAGCATCGGAGTCTTGAGTTAGTTTTATCACAACACAAAAAGGATAGATATTATTATATTGTCATCAAGTTAACTGAATATATTTAAAATTACCATATATGCTGATATAAAATTAATTTTCAAAAGAAATAATTTTATCTGAATGCAAAATATTCATCAAAACAGACTGCATATACAAAAAAGAAGTGAGACGCAGTCTCTACCAAATTATACATGTAATAACTTGCTACGGAAATTGACGCAATTTTCAAATGTGTTGCCAACATAGGTTTACAAACTGATTGACAGAAAATAGTTAACTTGATGAAATATATGTTTTTTTAGACTAAATGTAACGAACGAAAATAATTTAACAGAACAGTACCATGACATGGTTTAATCGATTTCCCACGGGTCAATAGCGATTATAATAAAACATTGTAGTTATACAACATCACTCGTAATTTTTTTATCAAGCCTTAAATGTTTGTAATGACAGTTGTTCATACATCCTGAGTTTACAATCTCCTTTCAACAAACAAAAATAGAAAATAAAAAGACAAGGTCCGGTGCTAGGCGTAAAAAAATATTGCCCTACGGACCTTTTTCATAAGAGCGAAATAACTTAAGAACTAAATAAATTGTAATTTCAGTTTTCTTATTGTTGGCAATGTCTGCTTTTCATCTCCATTTCTAACTCAGCATTAGCTGATAGACAGACAATTATACTCATATTATTAAAAAAAACTTTGAACACGAAAGTATTGAACATAGATTATGTTCTTTTGACTTTTTTATCCAGTCATATTACTATGGGCCATCTAATGGGTCATTTAAATATATTAATAGATTAAAATGGAGTAACGATATCAGTATGATGATTAAATTGAAATGTATAAATCCAATGTGGGTAATAAACTGAAATAAAAATATCAGTTCAACATTCAATGGCAATAATTATTCAAAAAAGCCACAATATTATGACTGGACATACCTATACACATAACAAATCAATTTAGGAACACGACCAGAGACTATAAACTCAGGCTTTTTATCGCTAGAGATGGGCTTTAGGATCCGCCTTTCTTGCGTCCACGGGAGCCAGGTAGGGCCACGCCGCGAAGGGACCGCATCGCCATAGCTCGGTTGAAATGTCGTTGAGTCTTGTGCTCTTCTACATCACCACCACTGTCCACTGACGATAATATCACCAGTAATACTCCCATCACCTGGAAAAGTGGAGATTGAGATTAACTACTTTGATATTTTTTGAATAAGGTTTGAAAGGAACTTCGAGGTTTATTCCAAGACGATTTCTTATGAGAAAGAAAAATAATACCGTATTTTTAAAAACGCTATTTATAGTTGAGAAAGAAGAAACAATGCAAAAATAGGATTTGTAGAAGTGGTACCTAAAACCGTTAATTATAGAAGCTAAAAAATATAAGTTTACGCGTTACAGAACTTGGCAGTTCTAAATCAGTTGCCACGTAAGGTCGGTCTTGTCTTGTAGCAATTTTACGACGCAACAGAAACAATCGGTAAGCACGAACCGCCTCAATTACCCTAACTATTTACTATGTACAACCAAAGTACCTACCTAAAACAAAGTCACATCTCGATATCGTTCAACAGTAATGTTTACCCAAACTTGATGAATGTGGATGTTGTATTTGGCTAGGCAAAACGCTATCAACATCAGCATAGCACACATATTTACCGGCCACCGGTACATTGGTAAACAAATTGCGACATCGCAGTTTCGGAAATGGTAAACCTCATTTCCTCTGCGGCATATAATGATATCGTTTTATAATTCCCATTTACTTTATCGTCTGGTTAATTAATTAGGTGCCTACGTACATATTGTCCTATGGTTTTGTGTTAGTTTTGTAATTTGAATTCGTGTCTAAGGTCTCTAGCTAGGTGGAATGAAATCTATTATGACGTTTCAAAACTGATTTTTGACTCGACTTTAATAGGCTTTATCAGTAAAACAGAACGCTATGGCAAACAGGAGCCGAGCTGTGAAACTGCGGGGAAGTAGCTAGTACCTATATCAATAAATCGATCTAGGTATGTTACGACTTCAATCAAGGACATATCCATCCACCTGAGATAGATTACAATATTAAAACCGCATTCAATAACGACCTGTACCTACTTAATGATTAATTGAAACTGCTATTAATACAAATGTGTTAGGTAACCAGACAAATAACAACACTAGGCATTTGACAAATGATAAATTAGGTTTAATCTCAAGTCATTTATAATATTTCTATTCTTATTCAGTTTAGTATAATGAAACAATGAAATGTCAATGATTCCTTCAAGGTTTAAGTAGCCAGAGGTCCATTTATATGGATTTTCTTGCCAGCTATGTTTAAGTCCTACGTTTATAATTGGCTCACTATGTAACAAAACAAAAAACGATGAAACCACAAAATTGCTCAAGGTCTCCTATACTAGCGCAAACAGTATTATGTTCATAACTCATTTGACCCAAAACCTAATATCAAATACCAATGGAATACCATAGGTATGTAGTAATATTTTTGTCATGGGTAAATTAACAAATGACCCTACCAGGAAGTAAGGAAGGTAGTGTCAGACTTTTACTGACTAAAAATGGAGGGGTGTTTCTTCTCCTGCTTTAAGCTGAGTTCACGGTGCCTCATTCCGCTTACCCTGCAAACCTGACTAAATATCAGACCTATAGGGCCCCGTCTGTGGTGGTCTATTGGCTCTTTGAGGCACGCGGGGTACGCTACGCGCTGTACGCTTGCGATTTGAGTTATGAATTTAAGGCTGAATAATAGGTCAGTAAGTACATATATGCACTTAGTTATTTGTATAATTACGTATGTAATAAAAATCACATGCTTACCAAACACACAATAATAAGGAGTGTATAGACATGCACTGACGCTTCTGGAGTGTTCTCGATGTCTTTCAATGCGGCCATAGCGGGTTCATAATCCGGTTTCAAGTCGAGAGCGTGTCTCAGGTGCATTGCCGCTTCCTGCACAAGGTTTTACAGTCACACACTAGTTAAAGCAGCAATGAAGTATGTTTTTGAAACACAGAAGGGATGCAAGCAGATATGAAGTGAAACTAAATAATTTATTAACAATCCTTTTTCATTTTTGACTTAAAATAAGACAGAAGTTAGAGTTGGATTGCCAGTTGGCCGAGATTTCTTTAACTGTCCCTGCATTTTTCGTGTAATTTAAGCGATTTTTCCATAACAAGTTATTTTTTTCATCAACCAATATTATTTGTATTACCTAATATTCCTACTTAGCTTAGACTCCGGCCGGAAATCTAAACTCTGATTCCTTTCGTTCGTGACCCCAGAAGTGTACTTACAAGAATTGAGCTTGGATCTGACAACCCTATTGTTTACCGAAATTCCCTAGTTCCTGGAGAAATAATTGACGAGTATTTTTGTTGCAATTTTTCTACTTCATACGTTATTTTTTATTAGATGTAAGTACTTAAGAACATATTATGACAGTTACTGTTAATGGTCAACCGTCAATACCTAAATACGTTGATGATTTTTCGACATTTCGTGACCAAGTCAGTGTCGTTTCAGTTAGATAATAAATAGATTGGCAGTGTTGTAGTTTGAAAGTAGAGGACGTTCGTGTTAAAAATGAATATAATGCGCACTTATTCATTCTGCATTTTCAAACAAAATAACAGTTTTGTGAAATGACGCCATTACTACTGTTATATTTACTGATGTGCTGTATCAATCCTTTTAGAGTCTCAAAAAGAGAAATATCCTTATTCTTGAAATTTTGTTTCATATAGTTAAAATACTTTAGTTTAGTTGAATTCATGTTTACGTTTGTTCGAATAGAAAAAAACTTAACGCCATTGTATTGTGATAATAATAATTGCCGGTAATTCATTAAGAGCCTGCTCAGATGCGGTTGATGCTTAGAAAAAATATACAATAGCAAATAGGTTCTTCAACTGACTCAACTAGCTAGTAAAGTATTTTCCGTTCCACGAAGAGTTCTTTCACGTATATTTTATACATCGTTCTATACATTCCAACTTTGTAGGGGACAGGTATCTATCTGCACTACTACACCAGCCTTCAAGATCACAAGAGCAGAAAAGGGAATCACACCAAACACTAATTAAATCTAAACAATATACAACAGTAATAAGGTTCAATATTAAATAGCAACATACCTGATAATGTCCATATGCCTTGAATATTTCGCCGAGCGTGAAATACTGTTGCCACGCGCTACGATCTGGCGGCTGGACTTCTAACGAACGTCGCGTTAGGTAGATCGCGTCGTCCAAGTATTGAAGGGTGAATAGTACCCTTGCAAGGTTTAGCAGGACCTGGTTAAAACAAATGATATTAATATGAAAGAAAAGGAAAACTATGCAGTATTAAGATCATACTACTGACTGTTCTTCGAGATTGAAAGAAGGTATGCCTCTCTATGAAACAAAGCGGGATTCCTACATCTTTGTATATACTGAAATGGCACCTGCAGCCAGCAGATGGCAGATTAAAATGGCCTCAACCTGTTAGGAGACTTCTGTCCTTTCGACTTTGTCTAGGCTAAAAACGGGACTCTTGTTCATGAAGATTTCGACGCACACGCTGCTTCTGAATAAGGGTCCTGTTGTAATTTGAAACTAGTAGAGCTTTTTTCAGTTCATTCACGTGAGTTAACCGTTATCTATACTAATATTATAAAGAGGTAAGGTAAGTTTCTATTTGGGGGGTAATCTTTGGAACCGCTGGTCGGATTTCCAAAATTCTTACACTGTTAGATAGTTACAATGTTCCTGAGTGCTATAGGTTACGAAACGAAATGCTATGATCAAATGGAGCCGAGAAGCGGTCGAAACCGCGCGAGAATAGTTTATTTTTAATAAATGTAGTATGTCATTTTCAGGTTAAAATTGTTTTCAAAAAGGAGACACAAATATTGTTCTAAAGGTGTACAATGCGGATTTTATTATGCTCAGTTGCGGTTAAACATCAAGATAGTAACATGGTCATAGAATGTTATTGCTAGCTGTTAGCCCGTCAAGTACAATTGTACGACCACTGATTATAAATATTTAAAAATAATTATATTTCCTTAATATCTTCAATATTATGCTCTAATTTGACCATGAAGTTCTCAACTAAATCTTAATATGGATTGACTTCTCTTAGTAGGTATAGTAATGGCAATAAATATTGATATCAGTTATTCTCAACATACATACAATAATTTTATTAAAGACAGCCCTACTTTTTCTCATAAAAATAACGTGAAGTAAGTATTAGTTACAAACACATAGATAATTATCCTATGGCAAGCTATGGACTGTGTAATCCATTAAAAAAACCATAAGTAATAAATTTCTACCAAATGTAGAACATCAGAACACCGATATATGGGTATTCTGAACTGTGCCAAGTAATTAATTAAATGTTCAATAAGCGACGAATAATAAAAAAACTCATATAAACTTTTATAGTTCCATCATTTTTATTATTGAGACCAAATTAATGTTTGTTCGTAAACGTACTTTGTCGGTAATTTTTCAACTTTATTTTCTTGGTTTTACGGTTGAAAGTTGAACTACAGCAAGATTTAGCAATGAAACTTCCAAGTGTAAATTATGAGTGTTGAGCAAATTTTCGGATATGTCACACGAGAAAACTGAAATGTAGGTGACAAAAAAAATCATGCCATGTAGGTACCTTAAACTTTTCTTGTAAGGGGTAAATCATCAAATGACTTCTCCCGCCCAAGGTGAGACGAGAGGCACTATCAGAATCTTACTGACTAATTACCCCCTCGTCCCTTCTCCTACTCTAGGCCAAGGCCATGGTGTCGTATTGCGCTTACCCCGCAACCCTGACTATCTACCTTACATTTGGGATACAATTTCTGCAATATTATACCTTAGTATAGCTACATAACACAAATCACATTCGTTTATTGCATATATTACACCCAGATTCTAAAATATTTAAAATAAAACATACAACGTCCTTATATTATAAAACAGTCTATCATCATTTTCAATCTTTAGTTATTTCTATTGATCAAATATACAAAAGTAAATGGAAACGCATATGGTTTGACCCGGTAACCTCGTTCCTACTGTCCCTTGGAAAGGTCGCTTGCGTAGTATTTACTCACTTGAGTAATTTATGTAAGGTATTTTTTGTATGAATATAAAATAAATTATGTTTAAATAGAGTAGTTCAGGACTTATAAATAATCTAGAAGAAACCCATACCGTCTAAGCTAAGGCAACCTTTCTTTGTTTACAAAAAAACAAGTAATTATGAGATGGTAAAAAACCTTAGTCTAACTCTAATAGAGTGGTAATTGAACGATGCTAGAGACGAAATTTTTACTAAATACGACATCAATTCGATCTTCGATTACTGAGTGATACTCACACTTTTATTCCTTCATAAATTATATAATTGAAAATAATTGATTTACTAGATGTCTGGGTAACTATTGTGAGACATATTACTTAAAGTTTTTCGGCTTATTGACGTAACTATTTAACGAGCCACCTCGAACATTTTCAAGCCACTTACGGGGCCCGTAACGATCAAGTAATATATGTATACCAAAGTACTTACTTCTGCGTTATATGGTGAGACGGCGAGTGCACGTCTGAAGCACTCGATGGACTGTCTCGTGTCGCCCTTGATCCTCCAGAAGTTTCCAATCTGGTTGTACAACTGCACAGACTTTGGTTTCTCTCTCTTTGCTTTTTTTAGACGTTTCTCGAAACCATTTATTTCCGACGGTGATAAACCGTTTGATTTCTTCTTTGGGAATATAAGAGACACCTAGAACAAGATCATTTTGTGTTAAATTGTGTTGAAACGGTAGAGAAATTAATAATTTGTGCTATATAGCAGAATAATGGTTCTTATCGAAATAAACCCATCTAGAGGGCGCTTTGTTGTGAGCCAAATATTGACGTATAGGGGGTCAAGAAAACAACTTCTTCTTTTAATTTAGAAACGTCGGATGATTGACGGACGTTTCTAAGTAATCGGTCTTCGCCATAAGATCTGGTTTGTAAAACTATCCTGTTGTGTAATCTAACCTAACCTACAAGCTCGTGGTCAGCAGGTCAGCCATGTTTGACATTAACAAAGAACAAAAATAACAACCCAAGATAAAATAAGTTATAATATGTCGATATCTCAAGAATGCATTCTTATCGAGACATTTTTAAGGGAGTGTCAAAGGTTTGCTATTTATTACCTACCTACTTATAAAAAAAAACCATTGGATTTGAAAACACAATAGATTCTTGTTTATTTTCCTTGAATGATATTTAATTATACTGCAATTGCGATCAATCGCGAGACAATTTTCCTTAACTAGATTAGTTCATAGGAAAACATTAAAAACGATTTGTAGGAACGGTTTATTTGTTACATACAAATACATCGATCCTCTAATAAATATGTTTCATGGTTGAAGAACCTTTTTGTTAAAGGGTTAAATTAATATCCTGGCGGTTCTTCTGCTATAAATAAATAGGCCATTATTACATTTTCCGTTATTTTCTTATACCCTAAGTAAGTTAAAATTTTTTGATGTTTTTTTACCACCTACTCCAAAACTGCTAAACCATTCATGATGAAATTAGAACCAAGACAGGTCACGGGTAGTAATATATAAAATATACATTAATTCTGTTCCGGAAAATTTTAGGTAGGTAGCACAATTTTTATTACTATTTATTGGAGAGAGCTCTTTATGATTTGGTTGTTAGCTGGTGTTCTTGCACATAGCCACAAGTCGTAGGTTTCATCACCAATATAATCAATAACCATGAAAAGCATAAAATGCATTTGTTTGTTTTGTAGCTTTTTATGTCTAAATTACTGAAGCGTTTTTGATACAGATATCTTCAATCGGTGCATAGTTATGCTTTACGTTTGTTTTCAATATAGCATAAGTAAATAAAAGAGTTTCAAGGTATTTCTTCCATTATAAGAATGAAATAGTTATTATAATGTATAAATATTATGAAGAGGTGAAATTTGTAAGTTTGTATGTAGGAAGTAGTAATCTTTAAAACCGCTGGTCGGTTTGCCAAAATTCTTTCACTGGAAGATAGCTTCAATGTTCCTGTGCTATAGGCTTTAAAACATCACGCTACGATCAAATGAAGCTGAGCAGCGGGTGAAACCGCGCGAGAGTAGCTAATGTATAATAAAGCTATGGAGTATTATTTTATGGCAATTTCATGTAGTTTTATTACAGTCCGGGTAATAGATAGTGTATAATCTTATCGCGTTCATATCAAAATCTAATTTACAAAGAGCTATAGTAAAAATGACATGGAGGTATTTAGATTAAGTAATTGTATACTTTTGTTGTTTGCACAGCAAATGTTTGTTCTTTTTTTCAAATAATAAATGGAATGATAGGTTTGTTGCAGTTATGATTACATTATGCATACTGACAGTTTTTGAATTATACATTTACTATTTTAAACTAAGGGTCTTGTTCTATCAAAGATTAGAAGATGCTACACAAATGGCAGACTGATTGTAAAGATTTTTTTTATTACTAATAGCTTTTGCCCGCGACTCCGTTCCCGTGGAATAGTGCCTTCCTGCTGATTTTTAGTATAAAAACTATCCTATGTCCTTTCTCGAGTTGTAAGTACCGTACCAAATTTCACAGAAATCGGTTCAGTAGTTTAGGTGTGAAGAAAAGACAGACAGAGTTACTTTCGCATTTATAATATTAAGATTGGATTCAAAAAGATGTCCCTACCTACCTAGTAATAGTAGATATACTGTTCAAGTTACACAATCGGTATAGATCACATGAGTGTAATATGATACACATAAACAGGGTGCAGGCTTTTGTTTTTTGAAAAAAAAAAGTTGACATACATACAATGTCACATACACATCACATCCAGACCAACAAACCAACCAAGGAACAATAATTTGTGGATCACACAAAGAGTTGTTCCATGCGGGAATCAAACCCGCGACACGTTGCGCGGTAGCCAGTTGCCCAGCCACCGCGCCAATTTACACCAATTTACGCGTACATTCTACAAATAGAAACTTGGACTTCTTATTAAATTAGTTTATCAAAAAGAGAGCCTTTAAAAAAACATATATATTAATTACCTGTGGTTCAGGTACATTGGGATGTCTATGTCGCCTGGCCACTCCAACCAGGTTATCATAATATGTAAAGTTGACCGCTTTACCACAATCTAAGTACTCATCGTCCGCATCACCATTCACTTCAGCTGGTGTTGTCTCATCACTATTTTCTACACCAGCCCTGCAATTAATAAAATTGTATTAATTACGACTGAACTTAATTCTATTGTACTTGTATTCTGTTACATAAGTTTTTAATTGCCAAAGGGTCATTGAATGCAAATCAAACGCTTACTTTAGATGAATAATATACAAATAATAAATAAAGACATAATTGTATTTCTCTCCATTTATCTAATAAAGAGAATATCAAAAAATAATAAATTGACTTTTAATTCCTGAAGGATATTGGTGCATTTTAATTATGTAAGACTATTACCTGTACATCAGTAAAGTAAAATAACATATTTATACATATGTTGAACATATGAACAGGTGTAGAATTACACTCAAGTCAATATTATATGCAATGGCTTCAAAAAGGTCACATGCAACAGGAAGCCTCAGAAGTATGTATAGTTTGTTAATATTGTTATTACTAATTATGGTCTATTGCTTTAGCGATTATTGAGTAAAATACGTAAAAATGTTTACAACCAGGTATTTATATATTTCCATGTTGGCTAATAAACTAAATTTTAAAAATATTTGGAGAGGTTTCTTTTATATAAAATGGCATACCAAGATTGACAACCTTTACTTAAATAAACCATAGTATCTGTGCTTGTGCTTCCACTAAGGCCCTTAGACAGCTATTCCTCTAGTCTCTCACTCTTAAAATCTTCCTTTAACTGATGTAACCGGTCTTAAGGTTAATGTTATGTATAAACTAGTCATACTATAAATTGTAAGCACCTTTGCTTTCTTAAAAGAATGACTATTTTGCTCACTTTCTAAACTATTTTTAGCAAGTGTTTCAAAACTAAAATAGCAGTAGGATAAAGAAGTCTACATAAAATATATTTAATAATATAATTTAGGTTAAAAAAAATATTGTGAACAATTTATTATTCAAGTATGTAATAACATGTTATTCAACATTTTATGAATATAATGTATTCTGATATGTTTACAAATTAAAGTGCTTATTAGATATTGTTGATGAATAAGTAAAATGCAATTCATATTGGACATTTTTTACCAACTACAAGAAAAGAAACAACTGCAAAGAAAGATTATATGATTTTTTTTTAGATAAGTTATTATTGTATTAGTTAACATTTCATTAATAACCTACTTGAAAACTGTTTTTTTTAAGAAATAATGTAACTGATAAGTTTATTTATTTGTTACAATTTATTATTTACTAAGTATTTATTTAACAACATAACTGTTAAAGGTTTTCTAAAATGAAATAATACCTCTATCTTTACTGTACATTTTGTTACAAGTAGATGTTTTAATCACAACAACAAACATAGTTGACTTTTTAAAATTAGTGCTAAACAACACCATGTGGTTATCACTAGGTTGTATGTTTATTTATCACATCATTAGGTACTCATATGAATCTTTCATGTTATATTTCTAAGTCTGTGATGTGAGGAACATTTTTCTCAAGCCATTCACCTACTAGAGATTTGTTTTTCCAGATTTAATATCTTATGTTTAAAAGATAAAGTTTATTCTTTATGAAGGGCTCAATTAACTTACCTCTGTTGTTCATATATTTGGCAATCTGTACAAAACATGTCAAAGCCATGTTTAGTCCATGTGTTCCCATAATACACTGTCGATGTTACTATGTTGAAGATCGGGTCTTCTTCATTCATGCGAGATTTATCAGATTCATCCTAAAAGTAGACCACAAATTTAATTACGTTTTTCAAGCCAAAACACAGCAGTTTCGTGACATTATGATAGAAACATCATTTAATTATAATTAAAACGTTTAAAAAAATATTCCAAGGCAAACATGGGCATAATAAGATCTAGAATAACAGATTGAAAGGTACATACGTTAATGAATATGTAGTGCATTGATTATATAAAAGTTTACCGACATATTATTAGAATTCTGACTGACCTGCGACAGCGTACTACCGTCCACGATCTGGTCACCTTCCGCATTCAATTTCCAAATATTAGAAGTGCGTGAATTAGTGACAATTATTTGAAACGAAAATATATACAGAAACAAACAAGTCAGGTATGGCGAGTCCCACATTTTGATCAGTAAAAGCGAAAATAAACATGTAAACTGATTATTTTTATGTCATTTATTAACACAACTTTCACACAAAACACAAATTGTTCAAACACAATTTCCAGCGGCTACGAATTTTAGAATAATATTCCACCAATAATCGCAATATCGCAATGGATCTCCTCATTCATTTCCTCTCTTTCTTGTTGACAGTCGTAGAGGTGACCGTATAATAATACTATTTTATGACTAAAAGGTCAACACGACTATTTTAGTACCTCATTTAAAATTAAATTGATTTTGATATAGACTCATATGTTTGAATTAGAAACAATAGTTGACGATGTCTGTGAAAACTTACTACATTATTAACACAAAACATTTACCTATTAAATAACAATCTCAAAAAGTTCATATCCATTCTAAGAAAGATTCAAAAAACAACCTTTGTCTTTGTTTTTGGTGTAATGTTGTCTATGACAGACTCGGTTGATTTGACATTTGACTGAATTTTGACATATCAATTTGTGTGATGTTTTGTGGTAGCACATATTTTGATATTTTGTAAAATAATTAATAATTTAGCTTCTTAAATCGAGAAATGTCTGGAATCATCAATTAACAATGAAGAAGGAGCGCACGGGCGACAATTGTCGTCCATTTAAATTATAAGTATCATAGAATTCATGTTTGTTTATATGCAGACTAAATGTTTGTGCACTACAAATATAACAATTTACTGATTTTATTTAATCTTCTTTACAGCCCATCAAATTCTTAGTTTGACTGGAATAAGTTTCGAAAGGAAAAGCGTTATTGTGAGTATTTATTATTGAAAGTAACCATAGTATTCTGATGGTCTAAAAATATGATTTTGCTTATCTATCCATTTATCATTTGCAGGGTTTTGTAGAACTAACAATCGTCCCATTAAAGGACAATCTCCGCTATATTCGACTAAACGCTAAGCAATGTCGAATTTATCGTGTTTGCCTCAATGACCAGTATGAGGCAAATTTCCAATATTTTGATCCATTTTTGGATATTTGCCAAGCTGACCCTAATACGTAAGTACACTAAATATGGTGATTAACTAATTTACAATAAATAGATAAAAAATCATAATCACAATATCTGAAGAACAATAATTAATATGTACTTATGCATATTCAAATTTTTCAGGTATAAATTTGAATATAGAACTTAATTTCTATGAATACTTCATACAAATTGCCACATGAGTTGGGTATCTGAGGTTGATGAAACAGACCCAAATTTGCCCTTCTGTTGAATAGCTTTTATTCATACATCCTGTACTCAACATTCACATTTCACATTTCTTACAGGAGGTCCTTGGAAGTTTTCTCTCAGTTTCATTTATCTGCTGCCCAAAAGATAGATCCGGATCATAATTCCGGAGAGCTTCATATCCAGATTCCAGAGGAAGCTGCCCATTTAGTGGGAGAAGGGAGAGGACTCCGCATTGGTATTGAGTTCTCCCTTGAATCCCCTCAGGGAGGAATGCATTTCGTTGTACCAGAGGGTGAAGGAACTTTAGTGGAAGTATGTAAAAAATATATAATTTAATGTTTGTCATTTTGTTTGAGAATAAGTCAGGATAATTATTTTCTTATTTCTTATCTCTCATCCATTGTATTATCAGTTAGAAAATCAAATATTCATGACTTTTTGAATGTTGCACAATATTTAACAAAGAAATTAGGGTTGATTTCCTAATTATTTTCTGTTACTTTTTCTCTCTTTTCACTGTGATTGATTTTAAAAACACATACTATGCAATTATATTTCTGTAGCAAAACAAGCATAATATATCTAAAAAAAAATTGTCATTTGAATCTTTTTAATATTATTTTTATTTTACAGAAATCTGCTCATATGTTTACATATGGTCACTCAGCGCGTCTCTGGTTCCCTTGCGTAGACAGTTTTGCGGAGCCCTGCACTTGGAAACTAGAGTTTACCGTTGATGAAAGTCTTACCGCGGTGTCATGTGGGGAGCTTTTCGAAGTGGTGTATACTCCGGACCATCGCAGGAAGACTTTTCATTATCTGGTTAACACTCCAGCGTGTGCTCCCAACATTGCTTTGGCTATAGGGTGAGTCTTTTATTGTTGGTATTGTCTTCTTGATGTTTTGTTTTGGCATAGGGCAGCAGACAAGCAGTCATATCACCTGACGGTAAGCAGTCAACAGACAGAACATCCTGTTACAAACACCACTGCATATTAATAGTTCTTAAGTTTAATCATTAGGTCAGTCTAAATTTTGTTGATATTTTATTTTCGTACGTATTTGCCCTATGCCGATAGTTTACTCTCTGTTTATATAACAGTTAAATTATGTATATTAAATTTAATATCATTTTCTTCCAGGCCTTTTGAAACTTATGTGGATCCATTTATGAATGAGGTCACACATTACTGTTTGCCCAACTTGCTGCAAATATTGAAGAATACTGTAAGATATTTACATGAAGCATTTGAGTTTTATGAAGAAACTCTTTCTACTAGATATCCATATCCATGTTACAAACAAGTTTTTGTTGATGAGGTTAGTATTAGGAATAGAGACATATTATTTTATGTTGGTTATTCTTCAGAATACTTCTTATTGGTAGTGAGAGTTTTGATGGCAAACTAGAACCAATAGTATACCATGCTTCTTAATTTATTTGGTACATGTTTTTAAACACAATAATAAATAACCAACACACCTAAATCACTGTATACTATAAAACAAAGCCACTTTCTCTGTTTCCACATCCCTATGTAAGCTTAAATCTTTAAAACATGGCAACGGATTTATGTGTTTTTTATAAATAGAGTGATTGAAGGGGAAGTTTGGTTTGTATAGTAACATCCAATAAATAGTACAGAAATATAGTATCAGTATTGCACTTGTCCCAAGCTATGGCTGATCACTAGTAAATTGTTAAAATCTATATTTTTAGAGTATTTTATTACCTAAATTTGCCTTATGCCTTTACAGACTGAAGATGACGCGACTGCGTACACAACAATGTCTATCCTAAGCACTCACCTCCTGCATTCCATCGCCATCATAGACCAAACGTACATCAGTCGCAAAGCAATGGCCCAAGCCGTGGCGGAACAATTCTTTGGCTGCTTCATCACAATGCAGAACTGGTCTGATCTTTGGCTAGCCAAGGGCATACCTGACTATATGTGTGGATTGTACTCGAAGAAATGTTTCGGTAATAATGAGTACCGGTATATTATTCATCAGGAGCTACAAGAGGTAAGGCTTACATACTTTTTTGAGTTGTTGTTGTATGTTTGTGTTTACAGTTTCGCTGCTATCTTTTAACCCCAGTTCGAAAAGCATTTTCTTATGATGTCTCCTGCCCTTTGTCATCGAGTTTCATTCTCTTTCGGTCTTTGAATCATCGGCCCCGAGGGCCGCGGCAACTTATGGAATCTTTATCCGCAACCGCAGCCGATCATTATGCTGTGCCGTACTTTAATTACGAGACATAAAATTAGCTATAAAACTCTTACATTGTGTGTTTTCCTAGGTTGTTGGCTATGAAGAACAATATGGCGGCATAGTCTTGGATCCCTGGCAGCCGCCCGCCAGTGGGGCGCGTGTTGAACCAAAGGACGTATTCTATTTCCCCGTCCGAAATGTTCACACCATGTCCCCGCGTTATATTGAGGTGAGATATTAGATCATTGATGTTTATGCAGTTCAGAAATCGTAGGGTAATTATGTCCTTCCAACGATTAAGGTTTGTTTTAGATAGTTATTAAAAAAACAGTGCAGTAGGTAATTTTTGTAAATACAAAAGTGGACAACAACTTTGATATGGTCACATATTCTTACTTCCTACCGCAGAACAGAAAATTAAGTATAAGTGCCCCTACACTCTTTCAAAAAGAAAACCAGTGTCGCCAAAATCACACATTCTCAAATCAAATTGTCCATTACACACATAAAAAACAGCTATATAATTGGGTAAAAAGTTGAAACGCAACTTTAGCAAATTATATTCTAAATGTTGTTAAAAATTGAGTCTTATAACAATGAGCGAAAGTTGTTATCATTTCACATGTCACAATCAATAAAGGCGTCTCTCGTGTAAAAAACTTAAATAAAACAATTTACAAACGGATTCAGCCACTCAACGCTACGTAACAAATTCATTCTATTCAAAACGCTAACTTCTTTGAAATAGATGTCATATTTGTATGCACTTGTACCAATAGACATTTACTATTTTGCTACTCAGATAGGGCAGGGTATCCCAATATATCGATGTTTTTGTATTCGTGTGAGCAATATAATTTATCGACACGATATACCTACAAATGATCAGTAATGAAAAAGCTTCTAATAGAAAAAAAGAAAAATATTAACATATTTTTTGATCTAATGTTTTTTGGAGATGGTCAAGTTATTATTAAAGATTTCGATTTTAACATATAAAAGCACTACGCGCTCCTACAAGTTTTATCTTCTTTCCAACTAAAATAGAATCATTAAAATTGGTTCATAAATAACGGAGACGAAAAAACAAAAAAATGTTACAGTCGAATTGAGAGTCACTCTCCTTTTTGGAACTCTGATAAAAATCATGTACAACATCTATACTTATAATAAATCTGTAGAGGGGTCAATTCTGTACATTAAATATATTTTCAAAATAACTACCCGGGGGTGATTAGTGATCGATACTGATGCCAAAAATGCAATCAGTAAAAATTTTGTCTGTCTGTCTGTCTGTCTGTCTGTATGTTCTTTATAGAAACAAAAACTACTCGACGGATTTTAACAAAACTTGGTACAATTATTCTTTATACTCCTGGGCAGGTTATAGGATACTTTTCATCACGCTACAAGTAATAGGAACAGAGCAGTGAAGGAAAATGTTGGGAAAACGGGAGAAGTTACTCCCTTTTGTAAGTTTCAGTCGCGTGTGTAACCTTAATGGTTAAACTTACATAGAAATTATGTATGACGGAAATATTTTAAATAAAATTGTCTAAAAAAAATGTTTTACAGCATATGTCTACCTTTTATGGTTAACTCACAATAGCACGTGTAACTCCTGATAGCTTAGCAATTCGGATAATAAAACATAGCGCCGTCGCAAGTGAACACTGAATTATGGTATAAGAATTATTTTTGTGTAGCGGTTGCCGTGCTCGACACGATGCGGTATAAAATATAATATAATA